CTACTACTACTACTACTACTACTACTACTACTACTACACTTTCCTATTGTTTACTACGACTACTTCTGCTGCCACCACTACTTCCACGAGGGCGATTACTACGACTACTACAGTGTTGCTTTTACTGCGGCTACGTGTTCAAAGTGTTTACAGTATTCTTACACAACTGACTCTCGCTTGTCCTGAGTTTTTATTGAAGCATCGCCAGATGTTGCTTTTGTCTATCCATAATGGTATTTGTGTTTGTTGATACTTATTTCTTTGATCCTCCAACCATCTGGTGTGTGTGCACTGCAGGCTTTTCTGGATAGTGAAGAAGCGCAGACAGATTGAGTCAGCTTTTTGTTATCGGGCCATAGGATAGATTCAGCCCAACACAACAATCGCCACTACTTTTCGTTGACTTTGGCCAAATTTCTATACAAAAAAGTCGTTCAACTCATGTTTGGTTTGTCATGGTGCCCAGTTGTGCAGCGCTGGCAAGGCAACTGACACCAAGCAAGGAAAAGCTTTGCAGGACATGTGCATTGGCGATCTGAACCAACCGGATGCCTAGTTTTGCTTATCAAATCTGTCCAGCAGGGTTAGCAAGGTGTCCCTATCTTGGATATTGTATGATACTTGCAATAATAATTCGGGTTTGAAACAAATATAGATCTATATATATATATTGTTGGTGGACCTATGGTGCTGGATTTGACAGTGATCAGAGATTCCTCTCAGTGCTCCGAGTGTTTTCTAGAAGGTTTCTCTTGCAGGTGGCGTTTGTTCGGCCAATCTTTCACAACGCCTCCTTCAAGAACGCTACTAGGAGCAAAGGGCATCGCTACTAGGAGCAAGGATGCTCCAATGGGGCTCCTGGCCTTACTACTAGGAACAATGTTTGCTATCAGAAACACTACAGTCAAAAAGCAGGGTTTCGCGCACGCCCTGTCTTTTTTCGTCACGACGATCCGGGCCAGGGGTTTTTTGTAAGCGCCCGGTCTGCTGCGTCGCACCCCTATACTACCATCGTGAGCTTGACTCATATGTAGGCTGCATCAGATCAAGGTTGACATGCCACAGGCAAAAAACCGTAGCAATACCATACTGACAATTTCAATTACCCGGATCCAAAAACTCCAAAAACCACCCTCAGTGGAACAAAGCTCTTCGGATGTCCCTGGGAGGGGAACCAGGGAAAGGATTCACTCTACGAACAGGTGTTCGCAGGGTATCTGCGATCTGTTTCATTCTAGGACTACCGAAAGCATGCTTCCCAGCAAAAATCAGAGCACCAGACGTCACCGTGGCTAAAGGAAGGTGAGTCTGTGTCTGGATAAAGCTGAAAATGAAGTATTCATCCCGTCTGATTTGTTTGAAGGCGCCTGTACGTACCGCACAGCACGCCCCAATGGGAAAGGCAGCCAGAAATCACATGAATCCGAATCCATAGCCAAGAAAAACTGAAATGCCACAGAAAAGACATAGACAAAGCCATACCTTTGTACGCAGCTGAATGCTCTGAACCCACGTAGCAGCCAGGGAGTCTTTACAGGCTCGACCAGCAGACCGCGGGAGACCACTCAGCCCGGCCCCATGTCTGCAGTCACGGTCTTGCAAGGCATCCACGATTTTGCTAATGCATTCACCCTTTGTGCGGGGAGTTTGCGCACACAGCTGACCACACAAGGTCTTGATGTCGGCAGCAAGGCTACTGTTGAGCTGGACATAAACATCTTCCCATATGCGTTTGCACACCCCTTCTGGGGTAAGGATCCGAGACTGGGCTTGTAGCAGTGTTTTGGTTTTTGGTGTGAAAGACTCCCCTTCCACTCCCTTGTCAGCCTCCACCTTGTCTAACTTGGTCTTGGAAGGTTGCGAAGGCATAGAACGGAGCACTTCATCTCTAATTTTCTGAATCTCTGCCTGGCGTCGGAATTCACGAAGTTCCTCAGCCTCATCAGTGGAGTCGGCCCCGAGCCTGGCGCTTTCCCCCGGAATGTGTCTGGCTTTTGCGTCGGTCCTTATGTTTGATTCGTCCTCAGAAGACGAATTGGAGGGAGACCCTTTTTCTTGACTTGTCTTCCTTTCCCTGCCGCAGAAAACCATGTTTGCTATCAGAAACAAGAACCGAGGACTCCACTTTTGCAAACCCAAACGCACCAGACCCCTGGATCTCTGGACCTCCAGTCGGGTTGGTTCACACCCTGAGGAAACTCCAAGTTATTAAAGGACACCCGCAATCCCTTCCTGATTGAGCTTGACCTGAAGGCTATCGCTGGAGACAATTCCAGCTTTGGATGGCGAGAACACGAAAAACACAATACCCAGACACTCCATGAAAGCCATACATGCCTATATTCGGGTGGTTTTGGAGGTCAGTGTAGTCATATATATGGCAGTCCCATGGAGTGTTTGGGAATGATTTTGGTGAGTGCAAACCGTGGAAGTGTGGTTTTGGCTTTTCCGCTGTTTCAACCACCCCTCAACAAGGCTTAACGGTCGAGTGCCAGTCGGTCGACCACAGGTTACAGACTGAACCCAGATATATTCTGCGGACCCATTTTGGGAACTATAATAATGAGGGAGTTTGTTTTTAGCGCGGTGTGGTGTTGATGTTTGTCTTGCTGTCCATTATTTCTCCTTTGGGGTTTAGGCCATGTTCTGAAATAGGGTCTCTTCATGTCTCTTCCTATCCCATCGGCCATTAGGATCTCCAAGCTCAACATGATGAGTTGAAGAAAACCCTCCAGGCTGGAGAGAACCAAAGGCGCAGACAGACACCGCAAAAACAACACATGAAAACCCTGCAAACATTGGAAGTTGCTTGTTTGTTGAAGAGAACAAGGTTCTAGTTGAAGCAGTCTTTGGCCTGTTAGGCCATTGGGTATGTGGGGTGTAGTCATGCGGACACGTAGTCATTTGGCGCACTGCCATGGAGGAGATTAGCCAGCTGTTGTGGTTTGCACCCCACACCGAAACGCCGGAGTCCGGACCCAAATCAAAGCCGGCTTAATTGGTGCAGGCCCGAATTCTTAGGGGGGGTTCTTTCCTTAGGGCTCCAACTACCGAGAAGATGGTTAGGGTGGGTTTGGGGGGGTCTAACCACTTTCTCAGGATGTTTGACCTCAATAAGTGCAATCTCCACCACGGACGACTCGTCTCCAGGGTGCGCCAGGTCCGTCAGGGCGGCCGTGACGCGAGCGGCGGCCGTGACGCGAGCGGCCAGGCACAAGACACGAAGCATCACAAGGCTCTCCAGGTGCGCTACGCATCTCGTTCGCCTGGGAGCGCACCGGGTTGCTTCGGCAGGCCAGGCCAGGCCTAGAAGCGCACACACCGCGGTTCGGCCGAACCGAACCGAACCCAAATGTTTCGCATTTTGGACGGCACGGTCGTAGATGATGAGCAAAACTGGATGGTAGATGGTGCTGGCAGTTTGACCTGACATTAGCTGGGACAAGGCTATCTTTGAAGAATCCTTTGCGACCGTGACAATACTTTATGATCCATGCAGTTTGGTTGTGTGGGGGGTTGACAACGATAATGCTTCTGAAAGGTCCCTTGAAAAGACTTGAAGATGTCCAGCCAAGCCTGTTTGAAACCAGGCTGGCACAAGAATACATATGTTTTCGTACGTACCTGATGGTTAATTTCAGGGGTTATATGTGTGTTTCATTATTTTTCAAATATGTGTTTTTCTATAATCCAATTTTGACGGAGTGTTTGGGTAAGGAAAGCTTGCCCAGGTGAATGGCGCGACGGTTTGGATGGGAAACGGTCATGAGCGACGTGCAAAATGACTAGATACTTGTATTTTGCCGACCAGCTATGCAAAAATAGACGCAACACTGAAATGCATGTATAGGAAAGATAGAGGAAACATAAGGGATGTTTGGTACAAGAACAAGTGAATGTGTTTTAAAGCGGTGTAGAAAGAGGGACCAGATACCCAAGACTCCACGATGCCGTGTTGCAGCGGATATGGATCCAGATCTCTCTCTCTCCCTCTCTCCTGGCACCTCCACCCCTGGCCCACTGAGAGCGCTGGAGCCCCAAATAGCAAGGCCTGTCCAAGATACCCCACGAATAAGTGTGGTTGCTGACACTTTCGTACACCCCTCGGAAACTCAAAGGGGAGCCTGAGAATGGATCCATGGAAGTTCGTGGAAGACCATTTTCCCATACAACCAAGTGGTTTTAGGGTTCCATGTCAATCTGCAGGGGAGTATCGCGGCGCTTCAGGAGCACCTTCAACACGAGGAAACCGTACGAGCAGCCTTCGGGGTAGAGAAGGCCTGGTAGCCAGGGACGTGTGGACGCGTATGGATCGTGTGGATCGTGTGGAAGTTGATAACCCCCTTGTTTGGTGGAGGAATATAATTGTTTTCCAGTGGCCATTTTAGGAGAGAAGGTACAGTACCTTTCATGAGGTCACCTTTTTCTTGGATGGAAGATCCATTCCAGAAGTGCCCTGGAAGTGAAGCGAAGTGCTTTGGAAGTGAAGCACTAGGTGTGTTCTGGGATCTCTTTATTTCTGTGTATATATATCCGTGGAACTGTTATCAGACAAGATTGTGATGGACATCTAAGTGTGACTCTATTGATAAAGTACGAACCGGTTTTGTATGGTTTTGTCACAGCCAACGCTAGGTGGTTTGCTCAATCACCAATGGAATTGCAAGGTTCCTTTTTTCCATCGGGCACATGCGGGAGAGATGACCAGTTGACTAAAGATCCTCAGCAATCAGAGGAATGAGACTTTGATTAACCATGAGCAGCCACCATGTGTTGTTTCGACGCAAAGTCTGCGGCGAATGAAGGGTCATGCCAATGGCAAACTGAGGAGCCCTTCGTTTATCTTTTAGAAGATGACTAAGGAAGGTCATAAGCAAGAAGGTCAGAGATGAGAATTGAAGTTCTGGCAGTTCTGGAACTTCCAATCTTTCAAGCTGTTTTTCAACCTCAACTGCTTGGCCATGGGCCCTGAGCATGGAAACACATGCATTTAAGCTTTGCCTGCTGGCAGGGTGTCGACTTAAAGCTTGGCTTCGCTGAATCAACCTGAATAGTTAGGGTGCAGGTTAAGACTGCATAGACTGCATCCAGTACTGCATCCTTTTCTCTTCACACATTCTCAAGCAAGAATTAAATCACATATTCAGCATGATTCAACCTTCTTTTTCCTGAACCGTGACCTTGTGAACGGCGGACCTCAACTGTCGGCGCAACTCAACTCTCGGCACCTGCGGAGATTCCGGGGCCTGGCACCCCGGTTTCAGCGGCAAGGAGCGCGAGCGGCAAGCGGCGCAAGCGGCCCTCGCGCGGCAGGCGAAGGAGATGGAGGACTCGGTGGGTGCCGAGATGAGAAGCTCTGGGAGTCTCGAACTTTAGAATATTTTTGGAATTGAACTGGCTGAGCTAGGTGCTTAATGTCGTCATGAAGCATAGGCTTCAAGAGTCCAAGATTTCAAATCCTCAGCACATAGATGTTGCATGATTTTGCAGTGGAAACTGTCGTTCCAGAAGGGGTATTGGTTGGTAATCCCCTGACTTATCACCTTGAACTTGAACTATGTTCACTCCAAATGTGGACCCAAAGTGATTTTTGAAGCCGTGGGGTGCAAGTGTAAGATGAAGAAGAAGCACAGGTGTCGTTCGGGACGGAGATTCTAAGAAGAAGAAGAAGCAGAAGCAGAAGCAACAGGATCAACAGGTGAAGAAGAAGAAGACTTGAGCAACTTGGGCATATATCCGTGACAGCTTTGAGGACTTGGCCCTGGACACCAGGAATTCCCAACAAATTCGCCGACAGATCAGCTCTGAACACGGCCCAAAACACACGGCCCCGTGCCACGACCCGTGCCGCGACCCGCAGGAGGAGCGAGCCCGACACCACGCTGCACTCCAGGAGCGCCGTGCGAACCGTGCAAAGGCGGTGGATGCGAGGAAACTGCGGACGGGGGAGCTGCGGAGGGGTGGGGGGGTCATGGGAGAAGCCGATGGCACGTTTTCTAGTCTGAAGGCACGGGTACCCCTTTGGAGGGTTTTGGAGGGGTCCATATACCGAACTTGGGGATTGCGGCATCTACGAAAGTATGTAAGGCGATGTAACATTTAGACATAGGCCACGTTAGAAATGCAAACATGTTCCTGACAACTCGCCTGCGTAACTCGCCTGCGTCATCTGGATGGAAGACCAGGTCAGGTAAAGCCAGGACCTGAGTCGAGATGGCATGAAGATGTTAGGTCAAGGTGCTGAGGGCTGATCGTACACATGTTCTTTTGTATGCCACAACCCCACACGGCTGTAGCACAACTGTATTCTTGATCCGGAGAAATACTCAGCTGAATATGCATGGCATACAGTTCTCTGGATCCTTGGATCTGTATTCTTGATCCAGAGGAATACTCAAGAATACTCTGTCAGCTGATCCAGTTTCCATCTGGTCAGGACCAAAAAGATCGACACAATGCTGCTTTGGAGGAGAGAAGATCGACACGAACGACATCGAATGACCCTTCCTGCGCAAGAGAGTGCCATGGATAATGGATAATCTTGCCGTAGTGATGACCACACACTTGCAGCGGACGAAACCGCGCAAAGAGCAAAGACTTTCCCATACTATATACTACCACTCGTGCTCAACGACTCACGTGTGAAACCTGAGTATATAATACTATACTTGGAGGCATACAATCCAGCTTGTAGGTGGTCAACCAGGGTCATCACTGGGATGGTTCGATATCAGCGAAGGTACCCTCTTTTCTGCAAGCAAAAAGCAGATCTAGGATGACACCCTTTTCGAGGACGTTTGTCCATCCAGATGGGTCCGTCCGTTTTTAGCATTCCAGGAGCAAGCTTCTCAGCATCGTGCAACAATCAGCTTGGCGATGCAGGTTCTGCAGGAGAGGGATAAAGACATGTGACAAGAACAAGAGATGGATGTTATTTTTCCCTTGATTGGTTGGAGTGACCAGCAATATTTTCGCAGCGGATCACAGCTCAAAGGTCTGTTTGAGTGGTTCCCAGCAGTGGAAGTTGGATTCACACGGCTATATACTTTGAAGTGGAGCTTCGCGCACCACTTGTGTTCTTTGAAGATCTCCAACAAAAAACAGATCCTCCATGTGATCTGGAATGGTTACATAAGATATTTCAACATTCCCAGACACTCCATGTAGGGTACCGATCAGGGGTGAGGGGTGGTTGGTTTCGGGGTCAGGCCTGGGGTGGCGTCGCGTCTGAGCCATCCCCTTCGAGACGTGCTCCGGTGACGGCGTCGCCGAAGGAGACCATCTTCCAACGGTGCCCAATTGATCTGTTCTGTTCATCTACTGTATGACTTTATAAAACCAGCCAAAAGGCCATGTTGCATAGTTGGAAGATCCAGATATATTATAATATATAGTTAACGAATTACCATTTGTGTATATCAAACATACACACTTCGATTAATGAATGCAAAAGTGACAGCTGGATCGACATGGTCCTGCAATGATCAGTGGGCAAAAAAACAATTCAATTCCAGAGGTGTCGAAAGCAATTCAGATTCAATCCTATTGGCTCAACCATGTTTTACAATGATAAAACATGGAGAAGCAATATGTCCTGTACAATTAAGTATAAACCAGTAGTTGTTTACCCCTAGTCAGTTGGCTCTTTTTGTGGGAGCATCTCTCCAAATCCGTTTTTTGTGACACGTTCTCACACGTTGTCCGTTGAGGGTCGATTGCTCAGGATCAACAACTGGAACAGCGCGAAGCTTTGCAGGCGCCTCGATGTCATAGTCTCGGGCATGTCGACCCAATCACCACGCGAGAAGGTGGGGTGGGTGTCAGGCAGGTCTTACTTCTGAGGATGTGGGACAGAGCACTAGGGGGGTTGATCTGGGTTTAGTCAAGGAAATGAATGCCTGTAATTACATGCAGCCAGCAGTGCTGAGGCTGGGCGGTTTTTCTGCTGCTCTTATCAGGCTCCAAAAGGCGATTGTCCAATAGATTGGTGGTGCCCTCATGTCATAGTTTGCGCCTCCCCACCGTCTCAAATCAACTAGATCAATAAACTTGTTTCATTGAAGTGTCAGCCAGTTCATAAAGATACTCTTTTCCTCTTGGCAATTTGAACTCCTTATCAAATCCAAAGTCTAAAACCAACCAACCATACAAAACAGTAAACACACCATGAAGCTTTGATGTTCTTGACCATCAGCCCGACTCAGTCGGTCAAACCATCTTACCTCACCGTCCTCACCGTCTCGAGACGTCCAAAGCCGCCGCCTGACGGCATCGCTCCGCGAGAGAGAGACCCGTCTACGGGACTGGGAAACATGCGAGAGACCCGTCTGACGGCAGGAACAGCTGGCTCAACATCATGCTGCCTTGCAGCTGGCCATTGAGAACCATCAGGAAGCCCCTCTGCGGGAGTAGAAGATCAGAAGGAATCCATCCACTTGGACCCTCCAAGTACTTATTGAACCATTCGTGCCAGCTTTCCTAGTAGCGTGTCAGGACCTCAACCAGTGATGCTTTGCTCCATCAGCAATTTCACCTCAGTTTTGTTGGTTTAGGTCTAAGGTCGGACAGTACCCTCCGCGCTGGGTCAGTTGACACCTCTTTATGAGCCCGGGAAGTGATCTCCGTGGTCAAGCACGGAGGATGTTTATAGGTACCATTTCACAAGGTATTTGGAGCTCGATCATTTGCAAGGGTATTATTGTCGTGTGCGTCCCTTGCCATCCGAAAGCACTCCGCTTCAAAACCGGTTTTGAAGTCGTCACAAGCTCAACGACGACAGTCCGTGCTGTGCCCGACGCGTTCGGCCCGTTGGTATCCTTCGAACGGTTTGTTCACGGCGTTCCCAAGCTTCATGTGGAACGATTTGCGGTGTGTTCAATGTGTTCCACGTTCAGGGCGTTCTAGACTATTTGATAGACTTTTACCATGTGTTTCCCCTCGATGCAGTAATGCAGTATAGCTGAGTTGTTCCTCGGCTTTGGTTCTTGTTTGGTGCTCGTCTCGTCTTGAGGCATTGTTTGCCAGAACACAGGATCTCCAGAAGGTGCAAAAGCATGCAAAAGCCGCCAGAAGTGTTCTTTCGCTCCACATGGGTGTGTATTTGAGTCGGGTCGTCCCGAACCTTCGCCGTTTCCTGGTCTCGGTCTCCCTATTCTTTCGAAGGTGTTTGGGTACTCGGTCTGCAGGCTCCTTTGGTTCCGTTCTGTTCGAAGGTAGGATGGGGATCACTTTCAAGGTCTTCTGTGAGATATTGAAAGGTGATTTCCGAGAACCCCTCCAAATGATCCTATTTATAGGTATACCGGTATACTGTATACCATCGTATACCTATTACATATACATGGAGTGTTTGGGTTTGGATGTATGTGTGCATGTGTGTGTGTGTTAGGAGATGAAAGCGCACGCAACAACAACTGAAAGTTAAAGTTGATGAAAGTGTTGGTTGACCCAGAGAAGTTGGGGACGTGCTGCGATAACCCGTTGCCATTCCTATGATCACGACCTATGCAAGCTTGAGGTGTTTGCAGTGACTTTGAAGGGCGAGTTTGGTTTATTCCTAGCTTCTCGGGAAAAGGAGGATCCAAATACAAGCTCTGGTTAGAAGTGCTGGAAATTTGGGACAGCATCGTAAGCAGGAGAAGGATCTCCTGTCAACAAAGTTGAAGGACCGGGGTGTGGGAGGGAAACCATCCTGAACTGCTGAGTTGCTCATGAGCTTCACCTGAAATAGATCAAAGGCGACGTGGTGTTCCTTCCCATGGGGACTTGTGTGAAATCAGTTGACCCCCCTGGCCGCCCTGGTCCGATCCTTCTAGGCGGTCGTTGCCAAGCCTGGAAGCTCTGACGCACCGTCGTGCCCCACCGGTGGGTTTCTTTCGTCGAGGATCAAGGCTGTTAGGTGGTTCTTTCCTCGAAGTGTTCCCAGTATTCTATCTTACTATATGTACATGACATGTTTTTTCTTCTTACTGCAATGTCATATATTTATACATGTCATAAATTGTCATAATTTTGCAGTACATCCTTCAGGTACGGGCATGACCGTCAGTGAGTGTTCTGGATTTGGAATCCAACCCTTGTTCGATTGGCGAGCCCAGCCGGGGCAATGCGCCAATTCACCCATCACCTGCGGAAGGGGAACAAGGGTCATGAGGAGGCTTGGTGCAGATTACGAAGACGTCTTTCCTCTACCGAACACACTGGGTGAGTTCAAAAATCCTCGTCCAAATCCCAGTTTTTAGCTGGGTAAAAGATGAGGAAAACGACAGGATCAATGATGTAAGTAAAGTCCACGGATGCCAGCAGGGAGTGAAGTCCACTTCCATGGTTCTTCCATGCAGGGTAGCAAGCTTAGGCACTTGGGCAACCAGTTATCGTGATAGACACAGGGGCCTTGAATCACTGTGTCTTTCAGCTCGTCTACTGCGAACTGGGTGCAGTTCCCAACTAGGCCAACTTGGGGGAATCAAGGCATGTAGGTCTATCAGAGCCAGTCAAAGGTCCAACTGGTTACCTCTCCAAGGCTCCAGTCCTACCTTCTCAGAAGATCCTTAGACTCTCCAACCCTATCCCAATCACCTTCTCATATGGTCTGATTTGGAGCCTCAAACCTCATTTTCCTTGTCAACGGTCCCAACCAAAAAGGGGTGCCCGCCAGGAGGACCAGGCGGCCTACGGACGATTCTTCCAGGCTGGCTGCGGCGGCCTACGGACGCGCCGATGGCGAGGGGGCAGTGAGGGCGGACCACGAAGGGACCAGCAGGTTCCAAGAGTTTCACCTCTTAGATGGGCTGAAAAGCGACCATATTCCTAATGAATGCCCTTCCGAACGGTGTGAGTGTGTATTTGTTCTTTTTGTGGGGAAGGGGGGTAGATAAGCGGCTTTGGAACTATATACTATATATATCGAGATATATAGAGAGAGATTATAGAGCTCTGGATGTTGCTGTGCAGGTACAATCAGGTACATCTGCCAGGAGTGTGGTTCACAAGTATATACGGACTGTTGGGTCCTTTCAGTGGATAGAATGCAGCCCCAGTTGTGGTTTGTGATGTTTTGTATGTGTGTTTCTTGCTTCCTTCTTCCACCTTCAACGACTGACCATTGCTCCAACGGCTCTTCACCCCACCCGCTGAACCCGCTGAACCGCCGCTTCACCGGGCGAGTCGACGCACCGGGCGAGTCGAAGGCGACCAAGCATCAGCACGAAGGCGACGTCCGGCGAGCCCTGCAGGACCGATGTGGTTCGATGGAGCCTCCGTTCACCAAGAGAGGTGGACAGTGACCTGAACTAGAACCTTACTAGGGTACCCAACTGGGATAGTCCATAGGGTTCTGAGTAGGGGTCCGGAGCCTCAAACCCCTGGGTTTGGGGACCAAGGCCTGTGAAGGGAGCGGAAATGGGCAGAACGTGTCGAGACACTCTGCTGACTTCTCTGGCGGTCACCAGACCGGCTAAGTGGTGTCGGTCGTTCACGAAAAAAGCGGTGGATCAGGAGGTGGGTCACGACCCATCACCATGTGAGTGTTATCAGGCTGAGAGAATCTTACTTGCAGTGTTGTTGTTTCTTATATATAATTCAGCACATGTCACTTCACCACATCGAAGTGATGATATCTCCTTTTCAATCTGTTTTAGGTTTGTCCGCTTGCATATTAGTCAGTTGCAGGTGGAGGGTAGGAACTATGTCATGCGAGTTTACCCTGGCGACCTGTGGTTGTCATTGGTTGTGTTGCATTTTGCTGGGATTGATGGACGCCCCGGATTTCTTGGCATCCCAGCTACTGTAAGTGTTCTAGGAGCCAGATGGTGTGCCAGATGCCACGCACGAGTTTGGACCTTTTGTTTGTTGCAGACACTGCTGTTTTCGTTTCCTAGTTATGAGTGGGTAGACGTTCTTGCCATATTTGATCGTTGGACTTGGCATGCCTGCAGGAACAGAAGCGACAATATGAAGCTGAGTTGAAGAGGCTGTTGCAGGACAGGGCATCAGGGATCTCTTTTGTGTGTATGGCTCCATTGCCCTTAATAACCATCGATCTAGTTTAAATAGTTGTTTTGAGCTGAACCGGTTTCCTTCTCAGTTGCCCTGTCCATTGGGACGTTGGAGGAGCAGAAGCGTCAATATGAAGCTGAGCTAAAACAAGCCCTGCGGGCAGGGCTCACAGAGTTGTTTGGCTTTTGGTCGGTGTTTGAAACATTGAAGGATTGTTCATCATTATCATATGTGCATATAGTTATTTGCAAAGTCAGGGTACTATACATATCTATACATTACTGCAAATATTTCCAAGTGGGCTCATATATCTTTGTGATCTTGGTGTTTCGTGAATCATCAGGCACATTGGCAAATTCTCATCTTCAGTCAGTCTAGATCACCAGACTACGTATTGCAATGGACCGTATACTTTAGCTCGGGCTTGTTTCTACTTTTAGCGTTGTTTCCTGTCCTGGCTTCTGTGACTTCCTATGGCTTTGGCTTCTAACAGCCTTCAGTTTTTGCCTGGCTTTTGCGGCTTTTGGTGGCTTGTGTAGCTTGAGCGGCCGACGTTTGGTTGCAAGGTCGCTTGGTTTTTGATGGCTTGCCTTTTGGTGGGAACTTCCCGACCGAAGCCAGGACGAACACCACCCCAAAAGGATCACCCCCGAGCCCTCTTTTCCCTAGTGCTCCTGACCTGACCTAACTACGTTTCGGAGGTGGTTGGGGTGGGTGCCTGTAGGGTCTAACTATACCTTCTGAAGATGTGGGATGGGAACCCCATAGGTCCATAGAAGGCCATAGGGTTTCACGTTTGTTCTAATACCTGTAACATGCTACAGTCAGCAAACGAGCAAATCCTTGGAAGAAGGCCTACAACCTAACCATCATTATCCACTGGGTCACCTGGGAGCGTCCGGACGACCACCGGAGCCCCGTTTCGGTGGATCTTGAAGGCTCACGATGACCTTCACGCACGCAAGTTGCAGGACGCTGCTGGAGGGGGTTTTCTGGGTCCGGTGGTGGAGAGGGTATGTCATGGGTATGTCTTCTATATACTCGGGGCGTTACGTGAGTGGGTAGGCCCTGTTGTATGAGTGTTTGCAATGTCGTGACGTGCGACGTGATGGATAGGTGGAAGTTCGGTTGTCCCGATGATCCGTTCTTTTCTCCCTAGGGCTCCAACCATATCCTCAGAACGTGGTTAGACCCCCTGGCACCCACCCCAACCACCTTCTCAGGAGGTGGGCCAGGAGCCCCAGGGTCTATTCTTTTAGCAGGACAATAGCTCCGTCTCGTCAGAGTCAGCAACTGCAATTCTTCCTTCGTGTCTTTGGCGAAGGAGAATGCCGGTCTTTCATGGTCTTTTCAGGTCTTCTGGGTGAGTGTAAGACAAAAGGGCGCCCTATATGGCTCCTGGCCGCCCCCTCCGTTTTGGTTTGGTCGTTGGGGTGGGTTAAGGATCTGACTACCTTCTGAGCCCTAGGGTAGAGCATCCGAATCCTGTGTAGAGACCTGGTTTTGAGGTGTCACAGAGTTTCGCATAGGGCGAGCATGCAAGGTATTCATTTTGCATGTCATTCTCAATCACAGAGACCTTTCTGAGGCAATGAACCCCTGGGTTTGGTTCGGGTTCAATAGACGAGTCTACCCGGACTGCGCCTCTGGAATTGCAGGGTCCGTCCGTTGTTTGCATTCTGTTCAAGCTTTTTGGACAATTGTTTTGTTGGTTACTGAGAGAACACCGGTAATCCCAACGAGATGGCCCGTTTGTTTTAACAATCCCTCTGAGTTGCTGTACTGGAGGCATTGGAACATCCAGATTGCAACGCACCATTTGTTTGCTGCAGGACTACAAGGCCATTCAGGATCTTCGTTGGAAGCGCTCAACAGCTCAGGCAGCCTGCTCAGTGAAACCATCCCTGTGGGTATCCGCAAGCGTTGAAACGAAGGTATGACTGGACCCTCCATGCCGATGTTAACGTGTCGAGCACATCACCGTGAGAAGGTGACAGTGGATCGGGTATGAGCTGTCGCATGGTCGCTTTGACGAGATGCTCATCGTGGCCATTTGGGAAGTGTTCGAAGTCATTGAACGGGTCGGGTGCAAGCTTTGACCCAGTTTAGTCGAACGAACACTGCAGAAAACCTGACGGGTGGACCAGCAGTATGGCAACCAGTTTTGATGCGAACATGCTACCGGATGTTTTGGACTTCCGGGTGGGTCTTCCTTGGCGTCATGGTGGGTCTTCCAAGTATATCGCTATAGGCTTTGCTTCTTTGGTTTGAATGTTTGAGATCACCCGGGTCGGTGTTGAGCATCTACTTTACAGCAGTTTGGCAGTTTGCTTGGAAGTCACTTGCCTGACAATTCACTAGTGTGCAACAGCAGCGAGTGTTACAACTACGGACAAGGTGTTCATTTGAACGAGGTTTTGAAATAGTATGTCATTATATGTTTAATGTTTTTGAACAAGCTCTTCAATTAATTAAGTCGTTTGATGTCTATAATGGGGTGATATGGGTGGTGTTGTGCTTTTTAATGTTCTCGTTTGATTCCATTGCTGTCCAAGGCAACAAACCGCAGCTCCAAAACTGTCGTGGAGCCACAGACGAAGGCCCAGTCTTCCTGATTTCAGTTTGATTCGTCGACAGCCACCTATGTCGCTGCAAATCAGGTGGATCCAGAATGGAGATCCCCAGTTCAATCACTTCAGCTTCAACCCAAAAGGGCCGCTTTCCTGGACAGGCACTGTCCGCACTGGAGGAGAAGGCTCCAAAGCTATCCAGTGTGGTCCATTTCGGAGCACACCATGAAGAGGCCACATGTCCGCTGCAAGAGAAGTACACATTGCTCAACGACTGCCAACAAATCATAGGACCATCATTACCATTATGCCATAAATTGTAGAACATGTTTCACTCAAACAAAATCAAACAAACATCATAACATCATAGATTTGCTCATTTTTGTGTTTGCTACATATGTATGTATGGCTCTGTGGGGACTCGTTGGCATGATGTCAATAGTGTACTGAAAGATTTGTTTGTGGAATGCTTTACTTGCCGCAGACAAAAGAGACAATGCATTGCATCCCTCAAATTGAAATTGTTTGTCAGGTAGAGTTCCTGATCTCAGCAAATTATGGTTCTATATTTAGCATATTTAGCTGGTTTTCGTTTTGCTGAACTTAGCGGACGGCTATTTCTGCAAGGTTTTTTTACACATGAACCTATTCTATGTTCTTTGTGTTTTATCGTGTCCATTTGACTCTAGTGCTTGCAAGTTGCAAGGCAACGAACGGCAGCTCCAAGACTGCCACGGAGCAACAGCAGACCAAGGTCCCCAAGGTCACTTTGTGTTTTTGGGGCTCCGGCAAGACTGCACGAGTAAGAGCTGGACTTGTTGACAAACAAATAGCACGAGATACTTCACAGGTGGAAAAATCCAAGTTCACACAAAGTGGCATCCACCAGGTGGCGTCATAGACATTCATGGATCCAGTCACATCCAGTCTTCCTGTTTTCTGTTTGATTGGACGACAGCCACTATCTACGGTAGGTTGCTGGAAATCAGGTGGATCTAGAAGGTTGCCGTCACTTCAGCTTCAACGGCCGTGGCTTTCCTGGGCACTCCGCAGGAGCAGGAGCCGAAGTTTCCAAGGCTATCAAGTGTGGTCCATTTCGGCACACACCATGACGAGGCCACATGTCTCTTGTGTGACAAGTGACCAGCAGGACCTGAGAATGGAAGAATGAAGAACATGACACCACTTCTTTTCGACTGAGATAGAAACAGATCGCCCATGTGCTAGAAGAGTGACCTCACCGGAGCCTCCCTGCCATGATGTCAATCAGTGTGCAGTGATGTTTGCGACTTCAGACACATTCAGACACGACCTGTTTCTTTTGCTGGCATAGAGATGCCGATCAATTGATCCCCTTTTTCGAAGAAAACCACAACAACGACACCCCTAAACCCCCCAAAACCCGCCTGAGATCTCGGCCGGACCCGCAGAAGAATGCGAGATCGTTCGGTGAGCCGTGTTGGTTCGTCGTCGTCCGGGCACGCCCGACCCGGAGTCCGAGAGGACCAGGTTGGACCAACGACGAGTGGGGTTCGGGTGGACCGTGTTGATTCTGAGAAAAGAAAACCGTATAGCACAGTGGTGCCGAAGAGAATCCCAGGAATATGGTGTTTTCACCGTAGGATGTACAGCATGAGTTTCATGTGATGTTCAAATCGAAGGCAGATCGTTAGGCTAAGAGGCGGAAAGCGAACCGTGAACTAGGCACTTTCAATTGGCTGCTTTGGCGCTGATGATTTGTTGTGTACAGTGTGAATTGTCAAGTTTCCAACACACATCTAGGAAGCAAATTAATATCACCAACTCATTAGTGCGGCGTGAGCTATCCTGCGTCGTAGCGAGGAGCTTCCTATTTCTAGTAGCTTTTTTACTGTATATTTATTAATACTTCTCCCTTACTTGATTAAATTGGCGCCTACAAAATTATGTGCTGTTTGGACATCTCGGTTTGATCTAGCCTCTGCATTCTTTGGAAGAGGAGTATTTGTTTAATCAAATTGCTTGCCAGGAGAAGGAGTGCCAGCATCAAAAGACTCTTGAGGAGTAGCTTCGAACATTACATTTGGGATTGTTTTTGTTTTTGACAAGCGAGTGAAGTGTTGAACAATCTGGCACTGCATGCTAAACTGCGTGAAAGCAAACGGACAGACTTTGTTCCTCCGAAAACACAAACAGGTAGTTTGTGCTGCTAAGATGTTGGAAAATTGACAATTCTTACCAGACGCAGTAGACTTGTGTTACCGCCTTTTATTAATGGCGAGTGTGTGTTGAACCCATTGTCGTATTTTGCCACCAGACATACGTACAACAAGTAATTAATCCCCTCAAGGAACTACTGTGATTCAATCAACATTTCATTTGCCATCATGTGGCAGCCAGTTGAGCAGCATAGTCCAGCCAGCAAGGAACGCGAGTCACATGACGGGAAGGCCCAAGAGGACCTGTTCTCACTGATTTTGACCTGCCAACAAGGTGTCATTGTTGTTTTGTTTGTGTGTTCTCCAAGATTGAGTACTGTTCAGATGTTGAATCTGGCTTGTTTTGGAGGACCTTCAGGCTCAACACGCTATGCTCAAGAAAGCCCTGCAGGTTGGCTAGAGAAGCTGAGCACTACAATGCCATGGAATTTGACATATGTTTGTTTGTTCAATCTCAGATTGGTCGAGCTGAAGTGCGTTTCAACAAAAATATGTTTTTGTTGGTGCCTGAGTTGTTTGCGTTCAACATGTCGGTCTATGATGAGTTTGTCTTGCATGGCGAGCGATAGATAGATGTTTAAAGTTTCATGGGGTCAATGGGGTCTTAGTGTGGCATGTGACCTTCAAATCATAGACCATCATAGCAGATCCCAAGTTTGTCAGGAGAAGGATGGGCAGCATCAGTTGGCTTTGGAGGAGAGAAGACAAAATAAGACCTAAACATGTTCTGGGGAGCACTTCCTGTTTCTGGCTTTTGACAGCTTTTGATATTTTTTTAAAGGGATGCCTTGCAGCATGGAGTGGTGAGATTCATTATGCAGATCATGCAGGAACTTAGGAGACAACATGGGGCTGAGCTACAGCAAGCCAAGCTGGAACAAGCTCCGCTGCAGGCAGTTTGTGTGGTACTGCTTGAGAGCAAACGGAAAGACCTTGTTCCTCTACGCAAGCAAACAGGTAGTTACCAGGTAGTTTGTTTTGGTAAGATTTTTGATAAATGACAACTCTTATCAGAAGCGGTTGAACTTTGGCTCACGGTTAAAGTCTTTTGTTTGCTGTGTAGTTTTGTCGCAAGATGTACAACAAGCAATGAATCCCCTTAGAGAAATATTGTGATTCAACTAACAGTTCATTTGTCATCATGTGGCATCCAGTTGAGCAGCTTAGTCATGCCGGCAAGGAACGTGAGTCGCATGACAGGAAGGCCCTAGAGGACCTGTTCTCACTGATCTTGACCTGCCAACAAGATGTCCTGTTTTTTGTTGTTTGTTTGTTCTCCAAGATTGAGTACTGTTCAGATGTTGAATCTGGCTCGTTTTGGAGGACCTTCAGGCTCAACATGCTAAGCTCAAGAAAGCCCTGCAGGTTGGCTAGAGAAGCTGAGCACTACAATGCCATGGAATTTGACATATGTTAGTTTGTTCAATCTCAGATGGGTCGAGTTGAAGTGCATCTCAACAAAGAGAAGGCATTTTGGTGCCTGAGTTGTGTGTGTGTTCAACATGTCGGTCTATGATGAGTTTGTCATGCATGGCGAGCAATATATACATGTTTAAAGTTTTATGGGGTCTTAGTGTGGCATGTGACGTTCAAGTCGTAGACCATCATAGCAGATCCCAAGTTTGTCAGGAGAAGGATGGGCAGCACCAGTTGGCATTGGAGGAGAGAAGAACAACAAACAAAATCATGGGAGCACTTCCGGTTGCTGGCTTTTGACAGCTATTGATCTTTAAGCAGGGATGCCTTGCAGCATGGAGTGGAGATTCATTGTGCAGATCATGCAAGAGTTGCAGGAACTTAGGAGACAACATGGGGCTGAGCTACAGCAAGCCAAGCTGGAACAAGCTCCGCTGCAGGCAGCTTGTGTGGTACTGCTTGAGAGCAAACGGAAAGACCTTGTTCGTCGCAAGATGTACACAAGTAATGAATCCCCGTAGAGAAATATTGTGATTCAACTAAAAGTTCATTTGCCATCATGTGGCATCCAGTTGAGCAGCTTAGTCCAGCCGGCAAGGAACGTGAGTCGCATGACAGGAAGGCCCTAGAGGACCTGTTCTCACTGATTTTGACCTGCCAGCAAGATGTCATCGTTGTTTTCTTTGTTTGTTCTCCAAGATTGAGTACTGTTCAGATGTTGAATCTGGCTCGTTTTGGAGGACCTTCAGGCTCAACATGCTGAGCTCAAGAAAGCCCTGCAGGTTGGCTAGAGACCATATTGTCATGGGCCATGGAGTTTGACATATGTTAGTTTGTTCAATCTCAGATTGGTCGAGTTGAAGTGCATCTCAACAAAGAGAATGCATTTTGGTGCCTGAGTTGTTAGTGTTCAACATGTTGGTCTATGATAATAAGTTTGTCTTGCATGCGAGCGATAGATACAGTAGATGTTTACAGTTTTTGGGGGTCAATGGGGTCTTAGTGTGGCATGTGACGTGGAAGTCATAGAC